TAGTATTTTACGTCAATACCTCGATTTTGTGTGGATGGTGTTATGTTTATGTATTAAATATACATGTGTAAGGTTGTAGTTGACGTTCACCTCCTTTTGTGGTATGCTCTTCACTTATTTCTCGAGTAAGCTATATAAAAAAGGTAAGGTTGTTATGAATAACTAGAAAGTTTTGCCACACAATTTCTTTGCTATTAGATTTGATACGTCTAATTGACATGAAGAGTGGTAAATAACCAATTAAGTTGGAGATCACTAAATTAAATTGATCCGTTGTAAGATGTAAAGCAAATATTAGTAATTGAGGATTTAGTTTCCAAGTAATCCTTGCTTGTGAAGTTCAATGGAATTTTGAACATATGAAATCAAGTTTTAATTGCAATGAGCATAAAAATCAAAGATTGTAAAATTATATTGAAAGGCGTGCAGGAAAAGTCTGGACGTGATATTTTATGTTGAAAATATGATTTATATGTGGTTCAACCATTTTGTATCGCTAAAAATCAAATACTAATTTAAATTATATAATAAATTTCTTACGACCAAATCGTGAGATGTAATAGACAAATTCATAATTACTAATTATCTAATTAGTAATTATAAAGACTCATCGATTACTTAGCGTGTCAACCAAATCCATTATGGCCACAACAGTAAATATACTATTCTATTTACAAACCCCACCCTAATATTTCCTATTTTCCTCAAATGCTTTTGTCTTTTTCTACCCAAACAAACCCTCTAAAGCCCTTTTCTTTCTCAGCTTCTCTAAGCAGCTCACTCCATAACCGTCATCTCTTTTCAGGTGTCGTCCTTTCTTGCCATCTCACAGCAGCTCCCTTCTCTTTAAATGTATGTTCATTTGTGACTTTGTATCTTGGTAGATTGTTTCTTGTCATGTCGATGGATTATCTTTAGCCAACTTTGATGCAAGGTAAATTTTTTTAATTGGAATACATGTGTATGTGGCACATGTTGTTGTCTGTCTCAACCACGAAATAATGGATGTTGTATTTTTGTAGATCCTATCATAACTTCGGTGATCATTCGTCAGCTGGGTGGATCTGTTGTGGATACTCATATTGTCGCGAGACTTATTCATATGTGGACGGCAAAAGAGTGTGTCTGTATGAACAGTCATCCTGTTATGTATACATTTTAGGTTGACAGAGAGGTTGTGTTTCTGTTGTGGTTTATTTACATGTTCGAGTTGCTTGTTATTGTGATGATTTGTATGAGTTTTCGGATGCAGGAGGACATCATTGAAGGTGTTGCCGTCCCTGGGGATAGTGGTGTTGTTGGTGCCCTTATTCCTGTTGGTGGGATATACAACATGAAACTTGTGCCCTTGATCCTGGCCAGGACTACAGGAAATCCACTGCGAAATGCTCCGTGTGATTTGCGATTTCGTTTGACAAGAACCCAGTCATTTGTCGAAATTCCTAACAACAATCCGCCGAGATTGGCTTTATTTCCCTTTGATGATTTTAGGGACACACAATTTGAGGATTTGGTACAAATGTGTTATGATTCGCAACACTTGGCAGGTGATTTTTTCGTTTGTTAAGTTTAAATATCTTTAATTGGACGCTAACATTTGTCTATTTTCATATGTAAGTAGGCGTGTTCTTTCTTGGTCGGATTAACACAATATCTCAAATAGATGCATGTCATTTGATATTGTTCTCAAGAATTCAAGGTCATTGTTCGTACTTCCGGTGATTTATTATGTTTGTCGTTTGATGTTTTTTAATTTTTTCCAATTGATGTGCAGGAATAGGTTTGTAACCAATGAGTACATTGGTAAACATGATCATTATATTGGAGAACTTGCTGGCATAGGTGAATTATTATCTTCTGTTGTGCTGACTTTTGTTAGCAATTTGGTTGCGAAGTCTACTGAATCAGATGACCTGGGTACATATTGGGGCATATGATTATTTTATTGCATATATTGTATGTTGTATATGGGATCCATTATTTATATCTTTATTGTCAACGTAGGCATGGTATCCAAATGATCAATCGTGGTAGACGGTACTATCTTGATGTAATTCCTCGTTTTCTGTGGTTATGTCTTTTTGTTATGTATCACATTGTAAGCGGTTGTTATTGTTGTGTGTTTTCTGTCAAAATTTGGTGACCTTGTGTTTTTTATGGCATTTTTTTATCAAATGTTATATATATATATATATATATATATATATATATTAGGAGATGGTCCTCTTTGTAGAGTTGTAGTTGAAGTTTTTTTCTTGCGGATGGTCACGTTAAAAGTTCATGTGAACTTACCTTTGATATTTTACAACTTAATTTGGATAATTAGCAAAGTTTATGGTTATTTTAATAGTATACAGGTTATAATATTGTTAATTTATGCTTTTTCATTTTAACATTGACCGAATATTGATGGATCGAAAAGTACATGTAGATTTACATGGATTGTCGGTTTGCGTGGTCGACAAGGGGTGCATGTGGTGCACTTATTGTGGTAGCTCTTTTTTTTTGTAATGAAGAAATAGTTTGGTAAAATTTAGTAAAGTTAGTGCATCTATTGGGGATGGGGAGAAAAGAGAAAATAAAGAGAAGAGGGAACTGATGGAAAGGAAAAGAAGAAACAAGTATGCTGGGAAAGCTATAAGGCATCCCATATAAAAAGTAGTGCTACTATTCGCTGTGAGTCTATGATCGACATAGGAAAGACTAAAAAGGTTAGAGTAAAAAAAATAGTTGCAATTATTTGATTAAAGTATCCTGTCGAACATGTCAAATCGTTCATCTTTCTTTGGATGGCCAATTTCATGTACGTATTGCTATATAATAATGTATATTTTGCTCGTGATCTTGAAATATATCCCAGAGTAGTGCATATGTCAGTTTGCAGTAAAAAAACGCTTCATTTGCGAACATGAAACACCAAAATGTCATTGTTTTCTCGCATGAGGGAGCTAAAACACTTTGTGCAATCTATGATCGATGAGGTACACGTCTTTATTTCTTTGGTTTAGTTACTTAGCCCATCATTGATTCGTTTTTTTTCAATCTTTGTAAATTCATGTTGTGTTGAAGGGAATTTTGGACCATCAGTTTTCCCAAGGTTCGGGCTCTCCAGGATGCTACTAATCCTGAATTCGTAGCTGAAGTTATCAACTCTTTTTGTCGCGATGGTGATAGGATCGTCAGGGAGATCAACAGGGATTTGTATGATGTTTGGCTATTTTTCGTACCTTGTATTGTAATTCCGTCTATTTTTTTTGTGTCATTATGGTCGCCAAAATTTTAAAACGCCGGTTATTAATTTTTGACCGTGCGTTTTGCAGAGGTGCTGTTGACGTGAATTTTTCTAAAATGGAAGAATCATTGCATCAAATTAGAGGCAATACAGTAGCTCCACGTTGGGATCTTGAACTTTCTTTTTTTAATGTTGTTCGTCATTTTCCACAGGTGTTTTCAGTGTGTGTTGTAAAGTTTAATCTGTGTTGTTTTGTATTTTTAGCATTGGGGCACGTCGGCTGAAGGTTTTTTGTGACGAACTTCTTCAAGCATGCATTGACAGAAACAAGGATAGGTTAGTTCACCGTATTCTTGAATATCAAAACAATTTCTGGGTGTGTGGGTTGCATAGTTTCATTCCTTAAAGCATCTCTGTATTTTTTTACAGGAGTATACGTGTTGCTAATGATGTCACTCGAGAATATTGCATTCTTCGCAACAAGTTAGGAAGTGTACTTGAGGTAGAAAATTTTCCGTTATATATTTATTTTACACTTTCTGAAAGTATAGACAATTTATTGAGCTCGTCCTTTTATTTCCAGATGGAGGTTGCAATTTTGGCAATCCAAAGATCTCAGAACTAGAGCATGGTTGGAGGGGGTTTGGTAGTACGTGTTTTCTGTTGTTTAATGTATCTTTGGGATATTTTTTAATATTGTTGTCAATGAACGATGATCTTCGTGTATGAATTGTTGTTTTTGGGAATTGACTTTTTACATTTTTGCTTTGCTTCTTCATTATATATGTGACGATTATGGTTAGTCGTTTAACCAGAATGTTAATTGTTGTTGGAAATCGTTCAACGTGTCGTCGTAAGTTAAATCCGTGAACCACTGCTCATTGCAAGGTGGGCATGAATCTGGCTTCTGTGGGTGTCGAATGTCCTTTGAGGATATTGGTTCCTTCGGAGGGTATCTTTTATTCAGTTTGGTAGGTTGGTTAGTCGTTGTGATTTTGGTTGTAGTAGTACGGGTTGTATCTACTTTATATTGTATTTTGTCCATGTAATGCTGTTTGTATTTGCTAAAAAATGCGTCGATCTGATGAAAATTAATTTTGACGTGACTGTTGTTGTTTTATGTCTATATTGGCATCCATCTTTTCCTTCATTTTGGTCTGAGCCATTGATTGTAATCACGACATTTTGTGGATGTGTATGTACATGTACGAGTATAAATGATCAAACAATCATGGTATTGGCTTTAGCCTTTTCGACCAGTGAAAATTATACCAGTTTATCGTAGTGGACTACAACTATTTGTAAAAAAGTTTAAACAATTACAAGTTATATTTCTTGAGATAAACATTTTAATTATCAATATTTTTTCATAGTTTGTTATCTAAAATTTTCCTCAGCTATTACATAAATATGCGTGACAGGAATGGTACATACGTATGCATCATATTTTTTTGCAAGCACGTAAAGAGAATGGTATTGTATATTATTGTAACCGACATAACTTTCGAACCAGACACACCAAACCACTACAGATCTCTGTTCATTGCGCTGATGAATTATCTGCTAAGCACGAAAATGTTAACTTCCAAAATAAAATCAATGGAATCCACTTTCTGGAATAGACAAACGTCGCCAACTTGTAGTGAATGCTCGTAGCAAAATGAAAGCCAATTTCTGCCAATGAGCCTTACACTGGACTCGCTTCTTCTCTTCAATCTTATGTTATACTTGGTACCCCTTGCAACGAGGAATACACTGTCGCATTCGTCCGTAATGTATTTTTTTACGAAGTCACGAGGCACGAGCTACACCAATGAAATATAACTAATTAAATTAATTCAACGTGTGCAATTGATAATATTTGATATGATGTAGAGTAATTGTATTACGGGTTTTGTGCGGCCTGTGATTTGTGTACGGGTCATGACTGTTATGTATGACGGATATTTGGGGTCTGATAGTATTGCTTCTATTATTGGCCTCCTACACCTTATGAGTGGATCGTACATTGATAGACGCAGGATTCGAGTTGAGTAGATTCCCTTCTCTATTCCAAGTTTCATGACCGCGCTGAAATGTTCTGTAATGTATTATTTCAAAACATTAGTACGTATATAATTGTGAAGATGAAGATGTGCCGTTATTGAATAGTAGTTTAAAAATCAAGAGAAATATGGTTGAACCATAGTGATAGTGTACTTACCATCATCTGGTTGTCGAATTCTTTCTGTGCCTTTTACCGCCAACTTTATCGAATGACGTGCAGTCGCGCCAATATCTTTTGGATTGCTGCTTAGAGTGGCCACATTTTTTTCTCTGATGACTTCTGTGTTATTCTTTTTTCCGATATCGGAGTTAAAGAACGAGCGACCATTGAGGTTGAATATATTGACTGTAAAATTACTCATGCCAGTGTATTTAAAATGGAGGACACAACCAATAGTTACTGAATAATGTTGCATAAATTGGTGCAAATTATCAGTGAAAAATAATGATTGTGTGTCTGCTTCCCTGTTAACTCCGATTATCCAAGAATCTCCCGTTGGTAATTGAAAAATTGTCGGTGATGAGAGCTCCGACCCATATTTGTGAGTAAAATTCAATGGAATATCCTGGTGTCACAAAATCAGACGATTCAGAGTTATAATTTTACCAATTATGGAAGTTTGACGACATGGGTGCGTTGCTATAGAAAAGGATATAACATAAAATAACTTACCATTTTATGTTGGGTGAGGAACTGGGGGCTTATGGTTACAAAAAAAGCACGAGCATGGAACGAAGATTGTGTAATCCTTCATCTTGCAAGGATCTGCTTCCTCTGCCGTGCTTGCTATAATAAAGCGGCTCTTCAGATCCTCCCACACTTCCATGGCAGATTCAAACCATGGCAAGCTTTTTACGATGCTAGGATCAATGGACTGGTATATCCATCCTTTTACCATTGCGTTAGCTTCATCCCATGCAAGAGACACCGTGTCGATGCCTAACGGTCTTTCGGAGCTTCCATCAATGAATGAAATTTTATTCTTCAAGCACAATGCTGTTTGCATTGAAGTAGACCAATATCCATAGTTTTCTCCGTTGAGAGTCGTGGATATTAACACCATAGAATGATTATCATTTGGGTGGAGGCGGTAAGGGTGACCCTCGTGAATATCTGACATCCTGCGACACAAGTGGTTGAAGTAATATGTTTTTGTTGGTGTATCAAAGATTGTGCTGGCATAGGCATAAAATGTTTATGATACTTGTAGAATGACTTTGCTAACAATATATAGATATAGATTTGTTCGTTTCATTGCAAAGAAAAAAAATTAAATTATGTTATGCACTAATTCCAATGATATTCTATGCAACAGTATTTATTTTATCGAAGATCAAATGCAATCTTGTAATGTTCCTACTTTTACCTATTTTAAAATAATTTTTTTAAATTCTAGGTACCAATTTGTCAACATACTGTGAGCGCATGTTACATTTTTTGGTATAAAAAACAATCTCATCTTGAGGATTTGTTTTGTGGAATTGAAGACTCCGCGTGGAGTTGGACAACTAAGGATTGATGTCATGAACCATGGTCCGTTACTGTGTGCGCACATTGGTTGTTGTTTTGTTGAATAATCATATCAGGTAAAATATTTATTGGTAAATTGTTAATATTTTTTTGTCGGTAAATTCATATTCATAATAATTGCAACTTTTTCTTCCTTTTGTCAATACGCAATTGTGACATAGAAAGTATTATTATGTATATGCCATGATTGTCTGTCAATGAACGTTGTTTTTTTTTGTTGTAAACAATCCGGTTCATTAATAATGAGCATTTCAAGTGCTATTACTCGAATTTGTTGGAGTGCATTTTTTAAATATTTTGTATGTTTTGTTAATAATTTATTGTGTTTCTATCTAATGTTAATGTAAAATGGTTTGTACTTTGCATATATGTATTTATATGTAGTTGCTTCTTAATTATTATAATTATTTGTTGTGTTTATTTATTAATATTATGATATTAATTAAAATGTTTACGTTGTTGTTTGTCAAATCTGTAACTAATTATAATTTTCATATGATAACTTGGAGTCACTCACGCATTATCCGCAGCGGAGCGCGGGCTTAGTTGCTAGTCCAAATTAACGTTTGAAGGAAGAGGGCAAAGGCCAAAGGGATAGTAAGGTAGAAGAAGATTCCGAACTCACAGAGAAAAGGAGTTTGCTTTAATTGGACCGTTGGAGGGAAAGGCCACACCAAAAAAGAAATCAAAATAATGAAAGGAAAGAATCCCCTGCCTGCGTGACACAACTCTGCCGCCGAACTTACAAAATCCCCCAAACCCCAAAACCAGAGCAAAGAGACAGAGTAGCCTCCGCTAATCGATCGTTCAATCCGTCATTTATCAGATCCTCCCTCCATTCCATCAAAAACACCCATAGAGGTGAAAGCAAAGGAAACGAAAATCGGAGGAAGGAGAATCATGGCATCGATCAGCGGCGCTCTGCAACACCAGAACCCAACCTTCCAGTCCACCGCCGTCTTCAACATCCTCGATCCAATCTCCCTCATTCTCTCCCAAAATTCCTGCGAACCCATCTCTCTCAAGCTCACGGCCGAGACCTACGCCATGGAGCGGGGGCCTCGCTACACTGCCTATGCCCAGCTCAGGGAATCCAAGCTCCGTACCAAGACCACCACGGCGGCGATGGGAACTGCATTTTCCCGCTTACCCGAGTCGGAGACGGAGTCCTGGAGGCAGCAGACTAGTCCGCCGCTGAAGAAACAGGTCAAATTCAAACACCAACTCCACCCTTTCCCCTCCCCTGTTTCGAGAAGGGCTTCCGGGTACGGCGCGTCGATGGTGGCTCAGTCGGTGCCGGATTTCTCGGCGGCGCTGAGGAAGGAGAACAGGAAGCCTCCGCCTTCACCGGCCATGGCGGGGAACCTGACTCCGTCGCCGTGCAAGAGCGGGTCGAAGGTGCAGGGTGTGTTGTCTTCGAGAGGGAGCAAGTCTGTTGGGTCGGGGGAGAAGAGGAGAGGGGTTGGGAACGGCGGTGGCAGTGGGTTGATGGCGAGGAAGAGCTATGCGAGCGTGGAGGAATTGAAGGGATTGTCGGCGGCGGCGTCGAATTCGATCATGAATGGGGAAAACAGAGTGGGAGGGTTGACCAGTAGTAGCAGGGGAAATGGTGGGAGAGGAAATGGAAATACTGTACTTGGATACCGACACCACTACTAAAGATTTGTGGGTTTCTTCTTTTCCTTCTCGAATTACGATTCTTACTGCCGTTGCGAGTTCTAGTTCTTCTTTTTGCCCTTCTGCCATGGCTTGTGTGGCCTGTGGTTATGGTTGGTGTTCTTTGGTTCATTTGGCTCTTTCCCTGACGATTCTGTTTCATTGCTTTAGGCAATTTCATCCCTGTAATATAAACACCTTTCATGATTCAATGTCCGTCTTTATAGAATCCAAATTGTCATGATACAAAATCTTAAGCCGATTATTATTATAAAAGGTTCACAATGAGTTATATTCGACTAATTCTTACTCGACAAGTTCATGGCTGCTAACCTCACCAATAAAGTTCCCAAAAACTGTGGAGGATGGAAGACTCGGCTCGCCCTAAAATTTACCAGATGCGAACCAAGTCCAAGCGCTTTTTGCCATTTTCTCAACACATAACAGAAGAAGATGATACAGCTACAAACCATCTAACTACCCAAACCGCCATTTCTTTACGCATATCATCATGAACTGGGTTAAGGTTTACTATTGCCATGGCAGCAAACTTCCAAATGGACTGCCTCCCTTTTTTGCTAGAGTTCCCACATGTCTCTCATGGTTTCTTCCAATAAAACGTCGACTATCTCACAGCCAATGTCGCCACCAATTTCATAAGATTCAACCTCGAATTCGGTCCATTTCGCTAATGATGGTCCCATCTCCAACTCCACCATCTCGTCTGGTATCAACCCGGCCATGTTCGTCCACCTCTTCACCTCCTCTCCAACCTCTTCCATCACTGTCTCCTTGCACCATGGCACCAGCAGCTGCTGCTGCCTCCATGTTCTGAACCCTGTATCACAATACCTGCTGCGTCTCGAATCTAACCATTCTATCACACAGTCGAACAGTAGCCTCCTGAGTTGATTACTGGCCTCTTTGCTACCCATGGAAACTGCAACAGCACTGAGCTCGTCGAGAAGGAAAGATCCCAAAACTGAACTCCTCGTTCTGTCAGGACCATGGTGATTTGCTGCTCCGAACAAGAGCTCAGCAGTCAAGATAGTCTCCTTTGCATGGCCAAGGTCCCTGCTAGTTAACTGGCACCCACCAGCTAGAGTTATGCTCTGCAACATTCTAGAGATGTGGTCATGGAGATCTGTCACCAGCTTCGAAAATCTCCTGCCTTCGGTGGTAGAGGTTGTAGTAGAATCCCAAGTAAGCATCGAGGAAGCTGTGCATTGTTTCAGAAAATGGGTGTTCAGTTTTGTGATCATAGAAACATTGAAACTTGGTAAGACTAGGTGTTTCAGTGTTGATACCTGAGTTGTCATCTAGACTGCTGGAGAAGCAGCTCTCATTTGAGAAGCTAGCATCAAGAACAGATCCAGGACTCAGATAATGTTTTCCATTCTGAAAAAAGGAGCAATAGGAGAAAAGTTGGATTGGTCAATGAACACTTTAAAGTTTAAAGGTAACATTGAAAAGGGAAGCTATGGAAGGCTGCTGATGACACCATAGAAAGAAGATGCAAGTAATAAAGAAGAAAAGCTATATACGACAAAAGGGGCAGACTCTAGCATACTCGGCTCTCTCAAGTATATATATTGCCCATTAATAAGGTTCCATTTTCATCACAAAAATGGTTGTAACGAATACTAGCAGTCCAGCAGAAGTAGTCCAGAAAAGAGGAAGGGCTATAGAACAAAAGCACACCTGGAAAGGTGCATTGGCAATGGAAAAACTACTTGGTGGAGAAGTGGGAATCACAGTTTCGATGCTCAAAGCAGATATCAACTCCTGGAGAATCATAGCAGTGGATCTTATTGGAAGTGCATTGCCACCTTTCAACTCATCCTCTTCTTGTGAGATCAGTTCTTTCAGCTTTTGTTGCAGAAGGGAGCCTAATGCATCTCTTCTCGGCGATACTCGCTTTTGCACACATCCTTTCCCTTCACTTTCACCCACCATGTTCCTTCGGTTTGAACTGTTTTTCCCCATCGGGTTCCTGCTGTCATAACCAGTTCTTACCCTTGATTGGCTACTAAATGTAAAAGAAGCAAGATCAATGTTGCCCTTATTGGGTATGCTGCTTTCACTTTGACTGTCAAATCTGGTTCTCGCACGAAAAGGGTTTAAACCGATTTTCTTCTCATTGACAGCGTCAAAATTGATGCTCCTTTGTCTTACAGGCGGAATTGAAGTACCATGCCCATTACTTTGAAGTTGTGCTCTAGCACTCACTGTCTTCCTTTTAACCCCTGGGCTCCTTAACTGTGGCAAGACATCATCTCTTCTGTTACAGAATCTCCTCTCCATGTTGAAGGTGGGGTTATCCATCCTATTCAACACCCGGACCCTGGACCGGCCACTTAAACTTCTGTTCATAGCAACAAAATCTTTAGTCCCACTAAAGGAACTCAACTTGGAAGCCTGCGTTAATCTATCGCTCCCTACCACTGGCATTCTGTTCTGGCCTTGGCTTCTCTGCTTGAAACCCACAGCAGCAGATGTCTCATCGTCCGTTCGATGGCTGTAGCCATGTTGGAATCCCTTTGATTGCCCCTTAGCTCCAAACTCGTGTAGCATGTCTTTTCTAAACGCAACCACTTCACTACTACATGCTCTCCCTTTGTCATGCATTTCCACATCACTACTTATTTGCTGCCCTTGTTTCCTCTTGCAGGCTACATCTCTCCCCTGATCGGTATAAGGGGTAGCGAAATGAGACGCGAGCGATGTTGCGCGATAATGAAACGGCTCTTCCTCCATCCTGGATTGCACCACCACATCAACCACATTGCCACAATTCTTGCAAGAAGTGACACTACTACTCTTCTGCACTTCTTTCACCGACTGTCCAAAAATCCCTCCTAAAGCCTCGTCGTTGGGAGCATAACGTTTCGAATTCGAGTAAGCAATGGTGGACTTGGCTCTATTGGTAGCTTGTATCCCAGGCTCCAAGATTCTTGTAGCTGCATCAATCAACCTAGATGTCCTGGATGCATGGCGTCCGGACGACGAAAGCTTGGGGCTTTTAACCGGGGTAGCAAGTTTGGCGGGAGGGTTACCATGTTTCCTAGACCTCGACAGAACACTCCTTATATGCAAAGCTTCCGCTCCGAGCCTAGGAGTTACTACTGCTCTTTGGTCGCACTGTCCAGTCTTTTGAAGCTTTGGAGGCCTAGATTCAAGCTTTGTGCTTACCTTATCCGAGCTCAAATCAGCTAAATGATCAGACCCATCTTTAGAACTTTGATGTTGCCTAACACCAGAGTAAGTATCGGTGTTTGAAGCTTTCTTGTGCTTATCTCGCTGCACAGCAGGCATGGAGTCCAGACCCATGAGCCTAGCAACCAAACTAGGAGACCGCATTTCTTGCTTCTTAAACTCCGTGAGGCTCCGGTTGCTGCTAATTTTCTTGGCATTTGCTTGGAAACCGCCGCTGTTCTCATCTACAATCTGCAAGCTCCAGCCCACACAAGGGTTTTAGAGACATATGTACAGAAGGAAATGACAAACAAAGAAGTTAGGATTACCAGATGGGGCTTGGCCTTTGGCATCGTTTCATCCCCTGCAAACTTCTTGGAAGCTTGCTTCATTCGAGCTGTGTAAAAAAAAAAAAAAAGGAAGCAGCATTGTTCAGTCAAACTAACTAGGCGTGAGACGAGTAGTTGGAACTGGAGAGGCAGAGAAGAGAGAGGGGGGGAACCTGGAGGGAGAAGTTTGGTGGAGAAGAGCTTCTTCTTGGCGAACCGACGGTTCCAATCGAAGAGCTGGAAGAAAATGCCGACACATCCGCCGGGGCGGTGAGGCCGTTTGTCGGCAACGGTGAGGCAGTTGGAGGCGACGGCGTTGGAAGTGTGTTGCTCCATCCCTTGTTCCATCGCCATAAAAAAAAAAAAAACAGAGTACCCTGTTTCTCTCTGTTTCCTTTCTGCAGGTTCCACTTTTTTCAATCGACCCTTTGAAGAGGATCAAATGAAGTAGAGCAGTGGCATGATTGTACGTAGGGGGAGAAGAATGGAAGAAAGAAGCATCTGGGCGGGAGGGAGGGGAGGCGAATATTTGCCGAATTTCGCAGAAGAGTGATTGAAGTTGATAAATCCAGGTGAAGGGTAAATTTAATGCCAGGTAAGGCTGTTGCTTGAAAAGGGCAAGTATCCAAGAAAAGGGAGAAAGGGGGGGGGGGGGGGGGGGGGGGAGAGAGAGAGGTTAGTACGAAGAAAGCTGTGAAAGTGACGAGACGGAGAGAAAGGCATGCAAAACGACGAATGCAGTGCTGTGCTGCTGCAAACAAAACGACAGCCGGGGAAGGCAAGGGGAAACAGAAATGTGAGACACTGCTACTTCTGTGCTCAATACTGCTTGCTTGCTTGCTTTGTCTTCAGTAGTTGATCATTATTCGGATGTCTGTCTGGTGTGGAGAGCCGTTGATGCTCTGTTTGAGTGAATGGGTTGGAGTTGAAGAAGAAGAAGAAGAAGGCAGGCTTGGCGCCTTGGCGGGAGAGTGAGGCGTGAGCTGCAGAGAGCTACTGTCTGGCGGTGGGAGTGGGAAAGCCATCAAAAGAAGCAACAGAAACAGAGGGACCAGCGAAGAGAGAGAGAGAGAGAGAGAGAGAGAGAGAGAGAGGAGATGGGATTTTGGAGATTCGGGAGTGGGACTTCGATTGTTGTCTTACTATGCCAAGGTCGAGGAGAGGAGAGGAGAGGAGAGAGTGTACTGACAGTTGAGTAAAGTGGGAAAAGGTGGTGATGAAGAACAAAAGGAAATGGCAAAAATCGAGAGGAGAAATATTAAAATAGAACAGATGAGCTGGGCTGGGCTGCTGCTTCGGCTTCGGTTGGTGTTTTTGGGTGAAGTGTGGTGTTGTGAGAAGGCGGGGCCGGCCGGCCGGCCGACCTGTTGCTGCTACCTGCAGTAGGGCTGCAAATGAGCCAAGCTACTCGCGAGCAACTCGAGGCTCGAATCGGGAAAAACTCGTTCGAAACTCGATTCGTTTACTGACGAGCCAAGCTTGAGCCTAGCTATGTTCAGCTCGTGAAGCTCGCGAGCTAGCTCGACTCGGTGGCTTGTTGAGCTCAACTCGTGAGTTAGCTCATTTAGAGCTCATGAGATGTCTCAACATTGTGGTTTGAGGGCAAACTTGATCACTGACTTATGGACTAATCGATCTAATTTGGACTTTCATAATTCATAGGATTGTTAAATTATATATCTCACATCATGTGAAGTTTAACATGTTGAACATGTAAGAAAATATGCCTTATTTTTAACGCTATAAAGAAATTATGTACAAAATTATTTCGATACTATGAAATAACATGATTTGAACTAGTTAAAATTTATTAACTAAACAATATGACACCTAAAAATTATAATATAAGATTAATTAATGTTGAACATTTGATTATTTTTTTATCACTACATCAATCACATGTACCATACACGACATACAAAATGAATGTATTAAATACGATCTAAGAATTTAGTAAACAAGCCTAACTCGAACTCGACTCGACTCAGCTCGTTAATAAATGGCTCGGGCTCGAGCTCAGCTCATTTGTTAACGAGTCAAGCTCAAGCTGGGGTAAAACTCGGCTCAGCTCGGCTCATTTGCAGCCCTAACCTGCAGTGCTGGGGGGCTGTGAAAGAGGAGAGAGAGAGATGCGGGAGAAGGAAAGGAAGGGTAGGTGGTGGCGTGTCGGGGTTCTGATTGGTCTGCAATCTGACCGAACCAGTCCTGGAAACCGTCCCAGCAATTACGGGTGGTTAACCATCCGGTTCACACTGAACCGAATCGTACAGAATCATATATCAGATCGAATATATTTCGATTCGGCCTTGGTCCCATGAATTATTTAAGTATGAACCAAACATGCTTTTGGTTCAATTTCAGTCCTCAATTTTTCTTTATTTTTGGTTTGGTCCTATCTCAATTCGATCCGGTTCTAGACCGAATCGACTTATACCCACCCTTACCAGCAAGCCGGTTTGACTGATAGTCGATGGCCGATTAAAATCGTGAAAATTGGTACTCTAATCGGATAGACCGGTTTCCGGCTCTTAGAAATAATGGTATCGCATTTGGAAGCCCTAACCCAAACCCTTACTAGAAAACAAGGAATAATGAGCAATCGAGAGTCGAGAGCCGCCCATCTCTGTCTGTTCCCGGCAGCAGCTCCCCCCTCCCAAAATCGAACACGACCCTCAAGGCCTCAACCTAGAATTTTTTATTTCTGCATCCATCTACTCTTTCAGATCCAATTCATGAGAAGTATAATTCGATACTTTGGTCTCCATGTATGTCACATTTTGTCACTCTTTTTATTGAAAGTCAATTACAAAATGAAACTTGATTGAAGCTTAGTCTCTCGAGCTCGTAAGATTAGTGTGTTTGTCTACATTCATCTTCCTTTCCTATCTTTTTAATGAAGTTAAGGGTGGAAGTATATTGTGCCTTCAGGAGCTACTATATTTCCTACTAGTTTTATTTGCTCTATGATCATAGGTCATTGGTGGAACAACTTTTCACAAACAATTCCTTTGCATCTCACAAGTTGGGGAAAAGTAAAGAAGGGAAACACAATATTTTGGTATCCATGTATGCCACTTGTTCTCAATCTTCTGTTGATAGATACTTACAAAATGAAACATGTTTGAAGTTTAGTCTCTCTAGCTCATAAGATTAGTGCGTTGTCTATAGTTATCTTCCTCTCTTATCATTTTAAATTAAACAAGTTAGAGGGTTGGAATCAGATTGTGTATTCAGGAGCTACTCGATTTGCTATTAGTTTTATTTGTTTGAAAAGAATTTATGATCATAGGGCGTTGTTGGAACAACTTGTCACAAGTAGTTTCTTTGAGAGTTGGGGAAAAGTAAAGAAGGGAAACACATAAAATCTATTATGTGGGCAACAACTTCCAGCAAGAGTGTTTGGTAATGCTTTAGTTGAAATTACCATTTGGGAATTATTAAGGATTGTTGATATGATATGCAACCATTTTTCGGGATTGTTTATATGAGTGCAATAAACAGACATGCACCTGGACCATTATTGAATGCGCTGAGAGCGCTCAAACATATGACTCGATGTGTCTGTACTTAGCATTCTTGATATTTAACCTTATTTGCCTAGTATAAATAGTGTCAATGTCTACAGTGAGGGCAGACATTAGTACACATTTTCCCCAAACAATTATCCTGAAATCATTCAATATCCGAGCCCCACCCAGACTTCTACGCCTCGACTCCTCTTTCTCTCTCTTCCTATTTTTCGTATATCTTTCTTGATACTTTCTCTTCTTATCTATCATAACTAATTACCAAATACCAACCCATTCACCTACTCTCCCTCTAATCCAAACCATCTCGAATCATCGCAGGTCGAGATTGACCGTAGTGGCTTCTATCCCTAAAAAAAAATTCGACTAAGTCAAACGAGATTAAACACTTATAAATCACATATAAAAGATTTCAAACATCACAACTATTATGAATAAACTAATTACTAAAAATTAAAAACAAAACTCATTCAACCAATGAAGTGAGTGTACAATTTGTTCATGGCTTAAACCATTTTATTTATCTAAAAGAATCAAAATACATAATTAGGTTCATCTTCACTCATTTACATATGTCTTTGGCGTACAAATTCATTAACACATAGAAAATGGGTTTTAACCAACATATTAAACCCAATGTCGTCACATGATTGTTGGATCAATCGTGTCATTTTAACAAAGAGGTTTAATGCTAGTGGTTGACTTGGCTGGAAATTAATACTTATATAAGAATTCTACGTCACTTCTACATATTGAATACTCCAATTCAATATGCAATATTCAAACAAAAGATATATGAGTTGTGCTTTTAAAATTATCCTCCATTTATAAGATAGATAAAAATTTAAATTAAGTATGAAAAATTCAAAAATCGAAGTATCCAACACCAAGTAAATACTTACGGAAGACATAGTGGGCTAACTAACCGTGGTGAAAATGTCCTTTGAATTTTAGAATTTAGCTTTGTGTATGTTTTTAATTTAGAAATACACAACAAATATATTTAGTGTAATTGGTTATGAATCTCAATCTTTTTTTGAAGAGACTCTGGTGCAAATCCCAATATTGATGTCTCATTTCTAAAAATAAGAAAGAAATAAATAATTGCTAAGACAGTATTCTTCCTATTTTTTGTTCTCGATACCTTAAAACTATGATCTAGTTGCGTTCTGTCAACTTTTGGCAAAACCTACTAATGGTTTTTCCTAAAATATACCCCATTGAATTTTTAGTATATTAGTAAATTCAACTAACCCAAAATCTATGTAATACGGTTTGTTCGTGAAACTGTAATTGGCGGTCGACCGGAAAAATCTCCTATTGATCAGAGTCTAAACTAGTAAGTGATTTTAGTAGTATGAAATGATTGGACTACATTTAAACCACAATTTCAACATAAAATATCTATAACATTCTTAAACAATTAAATATGAAAGGATATAGCATGCTAATTAGAGCAAACACAACATAATTTCCTGTTTCCAGTTCATCTCAATAGCTCACTCAACTAAAGATTGAACCAATATCAATGAAACATATTTTGTCTCGTTTAAACCGGATCGCACCACTTCCCGACCCTATAGTTGCAACTTGCATGTGGCTTTTTTCCCCGTACGTGAAGTAGATGAAAGTTGGAAGTCAAAGGCGGAAGCGCTTTGTTCGTCGCCGGGCAGCATACCAGATGATTTAGGGAATTTGGACACATGTTCTTTTTGTAGCTCATGCCTAATTAACAATGCTCTGATCTGGGTTGGTCCAAAAGTGCAGAGATTACCGAGACAAATTAGCCCATTAATCAAAACATTATAATTAAGAAACAGGTCTTCCGAGGCATGCATAGGAAACTTTTGTTTGCTTCAACTCCAAGAAAGTAATTCTCGGTCTTTCTTGCTATATATAATATGCATAAAATCCTCACAACTTTGACGATCTCAAATTTGATAAACTATAAATGTTTAATTTAGGGTGTGCACCGGTCAGAGGTTCGGATCGAATCAAATTCATAAGAAACCACAGTAAAATAGTGAAAGATATTTTAGGATTAAGAATCAGACTAGCATTATATTCACCTATTCGATCAAGTTTGGTTCGGTCCAAAGACAACTTGCATTACCAAGAAAAAATAGATCAAACTATTACAACTCCTTACTGAGCCAAGC